TTCCTTAAGGAGGCTGACAAATTTTCAATTCACAAGTACTTTGTGCAGAATTTACCTAGTGTTCTTTCTGTGTTTCAGCTAATATCAAACAAAATAAGGCACTTTTTTCTTTCTTTCTTTCTTTTTTTTTGGTAGTACTGGGGATCGAAGTCAGGACTTTGAGCTTGCCAGGCAGGCCTAATGCCACTGAGCTACATCCCAGCAATATCAAAAAAATTAAGAAAGAAAGTCATATCAATAAACACAGCATGATTTGAGACTACTGAAAGTCAAGGTGTAGGTTCCAAAAAATCAGCTGGGCCTTCAGATCCTCAATGTTAGGAAGGCTATAGTTAGAAATGCATTCTTTTGTCTTATGACAATAGACACTTAAAGGTTAAAAAACAAGATTCAAATAAATCTCAGTTTTACGTGAAAGCATTGAGGAAAAGATTGGGAATAATTTTTGCCAAAGCAAATGAAGGATTAAGTTTAATTTTTATTAGTTTTTTGAACTCTGATTCATATTATCAATAATAAATATTTATATAATTTTATATAACTTTGAAATCCTGGATTTTTGAAGATATCTTTCCATTCCATTCCTCCCCAACCCAAATAATGTATCTTTGAACCTGTTAGCATTATTCACTGTATCAGAGTATTTCAACTGTTGCAGCCAATTTTACCTCCTTTGGTTGAATCATTGTTGAGCTATCAGCATAACCTTATTAAAATGCTGAACCGGATTGCACTTTCAAGCAGAAAATTCAAGTTGGCTCACCTTTTCTTTTCTTATGGCTTCCTGCTATCTATTTATTTTAAAGGGTTTGGAATCAGCAAAACACACATGGCCCTTCCCGTGGAACTGAGACTCTCTGAAGGAAAATGCAAAGAGCTGCAGTGATGAAGAAAGGACAAGCCAGGCACAGCTAGTAAGGGTGATGTTGGAGTAACTCTACAGCAAGAGGGCCTTGTGCTTCTGGAGGGGTGGGAGAGATAGGCATGGAATGCCAGGGAAGCTTCTTAGGGGCTGAAATAAGAAGAATCAAGGACAATCAACAAATGAATAAACAAACACATACATAAATAAAAGTTTCACAGACAGCCTCTTCAATAAATTGTGTTGGAAAAAATGGATTTCCACCTGCCAAAGACTAAAATTAGACCCTTACCGTTCACCATGCACTAAACTAAACTCCAAGTGAATTAATCATCTAAATATTAAAAGAGAATCACTAAACTTGTTGGAAGATAAGTTAGGCAGAATTCTCAAAGACATTGGCATAGGCAAACTTTATGAACAAATCCTCAGTAGCATGGGAACTAGCACAAAAAATCAACAACTGGGATCGCATTTTATTGAAAAGCTTCTGTACTTCAAGAGAAACCACCAACAGAGCCGAGAGACAATTTACAACGTGGGGAAAAAAAATTTTACCAGCTGCTTCTCAGACAAAGGTCTGCTATCTAGAATATATAAAGAACTCAAAAAAAAAATCAGACTCCCCTAATAGAGAGACCCAACTCAAAAATGGACATCTGAAATGAACAGACACTTCATGGACAAACAAGTAAAAGAAGCAACTAAATATATGAAAAAATGTTCAAGATCCCTGGTCATTTGAGAGATGCAGATGAAAACAACACTGAGATTCCACCTCACCCCAGAAAGAATGGCGGCTATCAAGAAATCAATCAAAAAACAAATGTTGGCCGGCCTGTGGGGAGAAAGGAATCCTTCTCCATTGTTGGTGGGAGTACAGACTGGTGCAACCACTGTGAAAATCAATATGGAGATACCTCAAAGAACCAGGATTAGAGCTTCCATTTGACCCAGCTATCTGTCTGCTGGGTATCTTTCCAAAAGAAAAGAATCATGCCACAGCGGTATTTGCACACCCATGTTTATAGTGGCACTGTTTTAATAGCTAAAACTTGGAAACAGCCCAATTGCCCATGAACTGGAGACTAGATGAAGAAGATGTAGTTTTTCTATAAAATGGAGTACTACTCAGCCATAAAAAATGAGAAACTAGTTATTTATAGCTAAATGGATGCATATTGAGGCCATACTCAAGTGAAATAAAACACACAAGTGTAAATATTGAACAGTTTCCCTGGTGTGAAAAACTAAAAGTGTAAATAAGGTTCAAATTGTATAATTAATAATATGAAATAGGAAAAAAAGGGCTAAAAATAAATAAAAATAAAAGTTTCATAACCTTAATATGGAATGCTTGCCTAATTCAGAAGAATATTTGATCCTTATTACCTATGGTGTCCTGCCTTTCTCCTTTACATCTTGTATTTAAAGATGGGTAAGATTCAGACAATTCCTTCCTACTGATATTTAAAATTTGATGAAAGGATTTAGAAGTGCCACAAGGAACTATAACTTGTATATTTAAAGAAAGGGAACTTTAAAATATTTTATTTTTTTACATCAACATTTCAATAAATTATTGACTGATGGTTACAGAAGAAAAGGGAGAATTAGAAAAGACATCTTGAAGAAAATATAGGTACATTAGTCAGTAGTGTGAAAGCTATCATCAACAATGTGAAAATAAGTGAGCTAGGCAGTGTTCCCATAAACTTTATTTATTGACACTGACATTTGAATTTCATCTAATTTCCACATGTCAAAAAACAATCTTCTTTTAATTTTATTCTCTTCACTATTTAAAAATATGAAAACCATTCTTAGCTCAGTTTCACAAAAACTGGAAACAAGTCAAATTCTGCTAAAGTCAGAGCCACGGGAGTCGTACATAAGTCAGTTCTATACGGTGGACAGCTCTTTTGGACAGTACAACATCTCCCAAGCCTGAAATAGTCAGACAGCAGTAAAGGACGGATCATTTGAAAACAGAATCATCTAGTTTAATAATTGTTTATTATTAGAGGGTAGACATTGAAGTCATGAATTCTTTCATCATCTTGTAATTTCACAGTTCTGCACACAAACATGCCCCTTCAGTTGGCCTTAGTTTCTCTTTCTGTGTCAGAGAAAATTTGTGGTTCACAAAAGCTGAGCCTCGGTAACATTAATTTTCACTGAAGGTACATTGAGGATACATGAAATACGGAATAAAACAGCCAATCCAAGAATCCAGTTGTCACTTTCACTTGGCTGCGGAAAGTATTTTTGTCTACTTACCTGTTGCACATGGGTGTGCCTGATATTCCCAGAATTTACTTGCAACAAAGGAATGAAGCCATGCTGTGAAGGTCTGACTCAGCAGGAGCTGGGAAGCGCTCCAGCCACCCCATCTCGCCTTCCATTCTGCTCTTTTCCGTGCTGTGTGTGGATGCTTCCGGTCTCAGACCAATTCAAGTGCTCACTCAAACAAAGCGAGCTGCCCTGAATTGCCCCCGCCCCCCAGAGTGCAGGGAAACAGCTACGTCTTTGGGCTCCTTAAAAGTCCTCCCAGGTGGAACCAGACTAAAAGGAGCCAACTTAGCCTTACAATGAGCAGCACACAAAATAATAGTCATTTAACAAGCAAGCCTGAGTTACTGTGGACACTTCACATTGAGAGGTGCTTATTAGTATGAAAAGGCAGATGTGTATCACATCTTGAAATGTCTTTGCAGCAAAGGCAAAGGTCTCCTGCTTCCCTGACATTTATGGGAAATTCAGAAGTTATATCTGTTGGAAGGTTCAGATTCTTCTGCAGGTGCTGTGCAACAGGTTGCAAAACCTGTGACTCCCGTCAGAATGTCAAAACATTAACGGTAGCTAACAGTCTGGAACACTGATTATCTACCTGATGTAGGTATTATTGTTGCTATTATTGTCATCTGATTATCATTATCAACTGATGCTGTTGTTGCTATTATTTTTATCATCTAATCATTCCCCCCTTTACTGGGGAGGAAGGCAGGATACACAAAGGTTAAACCAGTTCCAATGTCACTTAGCCAGTAAAGGACAACTCCAACATTGAAACTTATTCCTACTCTCTTAAGGATCCATGTTTTTAAAAGTGGAAACCAAAAGCAAACCACCTCCAAAACCACAAAAAGCATCAGCTCTAGAAAATGCCCCTTAAATTCAGAGGGCCAAATAAGACAATGTTCCTCTAGACGCCCCTGGCTACAAATATTCTTTGGAGTAAAAGAAAACAGTAATTACTGCTCAGCAAAGTACTCTCATTGAGCTTTTCTGGATATAGTTCCCTGTTGGTTCTGAACAGCTCAGGATTGCTGTTTTTTTTTAGTTCCTCATGGCTGCCTTACATGTTTTCTGGATTTTGCTTTTGACTCTTGTATTATAAATCTACCTCTTTCTTCACCGCTCAGCCTTCTGCCTTTAGGTGAGCTAACCTGACCATGTGACCACCTCAAAATTTCTTTTAACCCACTAGAGCCCACAGCCAGCAGAGTGAGTGTCAGACTATACCTTCAGCATCTTATTTACCATGCACGTCAGTCTCAAGCTCCCATCCTGACGTTGGAGGAAGAAGGGCTTTCCAGCACCAGGCTGTTCTGTGCTTTCCCAGGGCTGACCAACTGTCCTGCCTAGCCTAAATGCTCATTAAAGGCATGTTACGGAGAGGAATGCAAGGGTGCTGGGTGGTTTCTCAGTTTTCATTGGCACGCAAGCCCAACTCTCACCTGCTAACGTGGAGACAAAGAGTTGTGGTGAAAGATGTCCCTGCTTTGTTAGATAAAGTCTGAGAACGGGCACAGATGTTTCCATAGCTTAGTTCCCAACTAACCTATTCCAGTCCTGTTTGTAAATAGCTGAGTCACTTACTGGCATTGGCGAGCACATTTCTGGCCCAGGAAATCTTCCGCTTTTCTACCCATACACTTGAGTGACCTTCACACTGTACCTCCTTTTGAAGTGCGGAGCCAGTGAGGACACCGCTGTCTCAGCTGACTGGCCAATTCCTGCTTGAGAGATGCCAGGGTGACCTATGTAGAATCCCAGGCTGGAACTGTAGGAACAAACCAGTGTCAATGGTTAACCCAGTTTCTCGTTGTGCAGGGGTTTTCTTTCCTGTATTATTAACTAGAGAACATTCTTGCTATTGCCCAGCTGAGAGCACCCAGCTCATAGATTTTCTGTGGGGAAAGTAAGGAAAGGTAAGTAATGGTTTGTTTTTGCTATTTACAGTCATTCCAGCTATGGTTTGCTCTTGCTGGGTTCTGTGGAGGAACAGAGAAACCTCTCTGCCCAGCAATGCAGCATCAATGTTGAATTAAGTGTAATTAAAGTAATTTGATTTTCTATCCAAGTACTTTAAGTAGGAGTAAAAGCGTGTGTCATATTCCTTAATTTATTTTGAAGTTTTGGGCAGAAAGTCTCAATGTTTACAGAGTCTGCTGGGCAGATCTTACCTGCCATTAAATACACAGATATCTCAACGTGATTTCACCATATCCTTTCCATATGGAATACACAATGATCATTTTCAAAGCCAGATTGTTGGGTCATGTATGTTTACATGTGTGCATGTGTATGTATGTATGAATATGAGTGTATTTACTTTTATGAACATGTAACTGCAAGCATTGAAATGTATTTATACCCCCATAAAGAAAAATAAGTCAACTCTTTCTTAAAGTCATCTGCAATTAAATGAGAGGAAATAAAACACGCCCTTCTTGAGACTTCTTTTAACATGAATGGGAGTAAGGAGTTTTCTGCCGATGATTGTCCCTTAGCTTTTCGAAAGCCTTTTTGTTTACAAAAAATAACTTTTGTCCTTTGGAATTTTTTTAGAAATGTATGGACTTGTAAATCTTTGCTCTCTGAGCATCATGAATTCTCTCAGATTGTTTTGATTGGTTGTGGCTTTAAGTGGTAAATTAGAGAGATGAACTTTGATCTTGTACTTTGTAGTCTTATCCAGTTGTATGGACTGGAAAGTCTTGAGAAAAACAGCTATGGTGTTTCTGCTGAATTTTACCCTTGCAACTTCCTCAAATGAAAAGAACATATTAACAGTGTTAACATACTATGGGAAAAGTAGACCAACCTCTCTCTATGCTAGATTTTAAACAATAAAATAACACAAAATATCTCAACCATGGTTATTTATAAAATAGACTTAAGGAGTTTCTGAAATTAAGGTAAAATGCAGTTTAAAAGTGGATAGGATCCAGAGCTGAATTCATATCAGGAGAGAGGTATGGGGGGAGAGGAGAGACACCCTGAGTAACCAATGAATGCAATCTTGTTTAACTTTGGAGTATGAAAACTGTGATAGATCTGAAACATTAGTCTCACACGAAACAAGAACACAGCATTTAAAACTGAAACACTGGGCAGGGCATTTAGCTTAGTGGTTCTACCGCTGGCCTTGCAAGGGCAAGGACCCTGGTACCCAAATAAATAAATTAAATAACTAAATGAATAAATAAAACTGAAACACTGGGGTGAAAGTGGCTTTCAATAGGCTATGTTAATTTTTCTAAATAAATATTTTGACTTAGAAGAGAAGAATTTTCAAGGGTATTAAAAAATATGTTTTGTCCGTTATATGTAAGAGTGTAGTGAGTGTAAGTTAACACTTGGATGGAGCCGGGGATTTAGCTCAGTGGTTCGGTGGCCTGCCTTGCGAGCGCAAGGACTCGAGTTCAATCCCCGGTACCAAAAAACAAAACAAAAAAAACCACTTGGATGTAACTTAGTTGAAAATTAGGAATTGGCAAAAGTATAGTTTAGGGAAAAATGATAGATACATAAAAGACATCTAAAGTAAACATTGGGCACCCAAACAATCTGTGCTTTTTACTTCTCAGATTGTAGGACTCAGCACTTGAATGCAGTGATCAGCTGTTGTCCCAGGTGAAGTTTGTCCTAGTGTGTTTCCTTTTACTTCCTAGTTCTAGGAAAAGTGGCTTCAAATCTAATTTTTGGAAATGTTGTTATCTCAGACATCACATGGACTATGAACATATCTAAAGGGCTTAAGCATTTAAGTGCTAGCTATCAAACAGATCCTAAGGCTATATTAAGCAAAAGAAAAAACAGGCTAGGGTTTTAGCTCATTGGTTTTGCCACCTGCCTCAATAGCACAAGGTTACGAGTTCGATCCCAGTAGCCCCCAAAAAAGAAAGAAAGAAAAACATAAAAGAAGTCCCTCTTTCATGAGTCCTCTATTTTGCTAGACATTTGCTGTCACAACAAAAGTGCATGTCAAATGTTGACAAGTAATATAAACCAAAAGAGAACAGGGGAAGAATTGTGAGGAAAGAGACAGAAGAGTGATCGAGTTGCGTTGTTTATCTATTGCTGTGTGACAAATGATTTTAAAAATTAGTGGCTTAAAAGAGACAACATTTTTTTGTCACATTTTTGTGGGTCAGGACCCAGGTTCACCTGGATTATCTGGGTCAAAGTCTCTTCTGTGCTTCCGTTAACATGTTCCCAAGGCCTGTGGGTGTCTCTAGTCTTACCTGGGCTCTGGGTGGAAGATCCTCTTCTGACCACTCACTTGTTATAAGGCAGGAGATGGCTCCTTCTTAGGCTATTGGATGGCTATCTCTTCTCTCCACTGGTTGTTGTCTAGAGCTCCTTTCCCAGCTCCTTTCCAAATAAGCCAGTCCCCAAACTACTGTAACTGAGAGGCTGGTTTCTATGATACTAAGTGAGAGGAAGGACAGGAGTCCTTTACTAATCTCAAAAGTGACATCTCTCATTTTGACAATGAGACAAAATTGACAATATTCTGTTCATTAGAAGGGCATCGCTTAGTGGAGATCACACTCAGTGGGAAGGGATTGACCAAGACTGAATATCAGGGGATAGGGATTACTGGGTGCTATCTGCAAAGCTGCCTGCCAAAAATTGGTGTTGTAAGTAGTATTGTCAAAGAACTACTAAGGGTGATACTTGAATGAAGACTTGGGGGTGCTGAGCATGTCGGAAAGGTGGACCCTCCAAGAAGAGCAGCTCTAGTTAATGGTGTCATGGGCATGTTCAAGAAAGTGCAAGATGTCTAGTGTGGCTGAGGCAAAACGGCAAGAGTCCGAGCTCTAATGGGTGAATTCATGGGGATGTGCCCTGCCATTTTACAAGATGGAGGAGATTGTGCCAGGTATGTGTCACAGAGATTTTTGAGGGGCTAGATGTTGATTTCAATAGGTGGAGAGTAAAAGAAAGAGCATTGGTGATGGGCAGGTGAGATGAAGGGATAAAATACAGAAGTAAGAATAAGGCAAATTATGATCCACATTAGAATAAATGAGGACCTAGCCCCTCTAGCTCGCCCAGTGGGGTAAGTGAAAGGAGCCTGAACAACAAGACTGCAGAGGACAACGGCATGGTCACCACCGTGAACCTTGTCTTGACACACATCTCTTCAACCCAGATTCAGGGTTCTGTCTGCCTCTTTTTCAGACGTTGTCCACAAACAAGTGCAAAGTGAGGGTAGATAGCCTGAGGAGTAAACAGAAGACTTGCTCCAAATACCTCTCCCAAACCAGGATGTTTTCCTTTCTCATATGTTAGCAACTTAGGTAATAGTCGATAAGACATCCAAGGAAATAGTCTCCTGAGATGTCTGTTGAAGTGAAAATAAGTTTAAATAGGTGGTCTTGGTTAGTTTCTAGGTCCAGGTGCCCACCTTTGGAAAATAAATGGTTTGTTTATGTCCTAAAATGCACCGCATGAAGGATTCCTGAGCAGAGGCAGTCACATCCTGTTTGCTCAGCTGGTCAAGCCTCTGCAAACTTGCATCTCCCCCCACACACACACCTTACTAGAGATTAAACACAAGACCTTCATCCTGAGCTACACTCCAAGCTCTTGTTACATTTTAAATTTTGACACAGGGTCTTGTCAAGTTGCTAAATTACCCAAGCTAGGCTTTATGATATGCTTTAGCCTTCTAGAATTCTGGGGCTACGGGCACATACCACTGCACCTGACTGAGAATTCTTTCTATTACCATCCCTCAGATTTGCTGTACATTGGACTTTGTACTGATGCCACTCCGTTTGAAATATTTGCTTTCAAATGGAAAAGATAGGATCAATTTTTTCTTTTCTTTCTTCAGGAAGTCTTATTCTAAAATTAAGCATTCAGATGACAAATATACAGCATTTTAATACAGTCATTTCACTGCTAAACATTATTTTCCAGATGCCTTGGATTCACATTCATATTTACTCATTCTGTTGCAAAAAACAATCTTGAGATTGTCTACAGGTCCAAATGAAAAATGAAAAAGTCAATCAGTGTAAGAAATATCCCCAAATTATATTTGCCTAACAGCTCTCCACAGAGGTGATTTTTTACCTCAACATATTCCAGAAATATCACCTCACTTCTAATTTTGTTTTACTTATATAAGTATAATTTTAAAGACTTCCAAATGATGTCCAAATGATGTGGCTTTAGAATACGTTCCACAAGATATTTTTCATCTTTTAAATTAAAATTAAGTTTGTAGTTTTTTTAAAAGGTAAGCATTTGTTCTAACAAACTTGAAAAAATACATGAATAATTTAGCAAATTTTTATTTTTGGTTGGATCTTATTTTAAATCAAAGCAATAGTGTAGTGTTGTGCAATCAGTAATCCTTTATTGAATATCACTGTACCAGATAATTTGGGTACCAAGATAATAAAGACTTGGTTCTTTCCCTGAATCTGGCAGAAAGAGGTAGATCTATAAAAAATTAAGGTGACACTACAATCTAGTACCAGGAAAACAAAAAGTGTGATTCGTGCACTGACAAGTTGAACTTCTCTTCCAGGAAAGTAAGACAATGATAACCAAGGTTTGGCATGTTGCTGTTGTCCTGGGTATATTTTTAGAATTTAGAACTTTCGTATGCTGAAATACTATTTTCACATTGAGCTCTATCACAAGATTTTTTCATTGCCAGTAAATCATTCCCACAGTTCTCTGATTGTAAGAGTACAATTTGTATTTGTCCCTATAGTTTGATAACTGCATTAATCAGAGTTCTCTAGAGAAACAGAAGTAAGCGTATAATAGAAAGAGGAAAATGAGGAGGAGGAAGAGGAGGGGTAGGGGAGAGGAGGAGGAGGAGGAGGACAGAGACAAGACAGAAAAGATAAACTAGTTATGGAACTGGCAAATCTGAAATCTGTAAGTCAGGCTAAGAGCA